AAAATCTCTTTACACCAAAACCAATTTTCCCCGCTCCTCTGGGTTCTTATTTTAAATTTGACCCTTACCCATGGCTACTTTTCTTCTAATGATCTGCTTTCCCATGACGATGGGTCCAGCAGAGGAGAGTGAGAATTTCTTAAATCTGGGCGCACAAGTGCCAAAAGCTGCGGGAGTGCACTTGAGAAAGATGTACCTGAGTTGAGCAGCTTTTGCATCGAATCAGGTGTGGTCCAGCGGGAGCAGTAAAAAATTTCTACACCTGTTTTCTAAGAGGCCGCAAACATCAGAATTTCAAAGGGAACAAAAAAAATTGACTGGAGAGGATTAAGGATTTGAACAATCACTTGCAAAGTTAGAAAAGGTCACAAGACTTTCTCACACATGCTGTAAACGTTCAAAACAGCGTTGAATAATGAGGAATAGAAGAATTAAAGATAGACTAACAATCAGTGACATCAGAATATTTTAGTTTGAATAGGGATTAAATATTGATCCAATGTATTTTATTTTTAGATACTAATAAACTAAAACTAATTAAATATTTTAAATTAATATTAATGCTAATTAAAAAACACAAGAAAAAGAACTGTTTAATCATTCATCATTCTTAAACAAGTCACAAAATTTTTTAAAATTTAAATTAAATAAATTTAATTTAATTTTTTCAAATATATTTTACACACAGTTAAATTATAATTTTTTAGAAACATAAAAATAATTTATTTATGTAGATCAAATTTTAAATAGTAAAAATAACGCTATTTCAGCGTTGATTCATGATAATTATTTCTTTGACAATCTTTGTCACATTTTTAATCTTTCAATTTTCAATAAATATTCCTTTACAAATATACTCAAAATACATATTTTACAAGCTTTTCCTCAAAAGAGAAGGAAAAGCCAAAAGTTTTAAAAATAGAACAGCGGCTATTTGAAATTTACGAAGGCCACCCCCGCGGATATATCATGCACATCTATCTATAGTGCTGGTCACACGGGGTCTGTGGCTCGCGTGATTTGCGTTTGATGTGATGCCGCTCGCCACTTTATTGATACAAGGATGCAACAACGCAGAATTCCCACCCTCGAAATAAAACCGGGCGTTGGTGGAAGCGGCGACTTCTTGCCGCTCGCGAGCACAAAAGCCAGGGTATGCGCGCGTGTAACAGGAAGTGCCGACTTTTATCGTGTGGCTTGAGCCACTTCCCCGGCCAATTCTCATGACCCGGCTGAACTCTGGCCATCAATATCAGATTTTCGATTCATATCAGGTATATATGATTACAGCAATAGCCAATCCATTATAACTCGCAACATAACTGTTGATATTCATTTCAGCAAATTCAAAAAGGACATGCAATGCATCAATATAAAATCATTACGGTCGGATTGAGTTGTATTACGATACTTGCAGGCTTAAAAATGTTTTATATCAGAAGTATTGAATAATTATTGTTCTTGAAATAAATTATATAAATAATTATTTTGATTTTAGAGTGCAATTTTATTAAATTCATGATTAATAATATTTTAAACCCAATTATACTTCACATTTAAAAAAATTTGGAATGGAAAATATTATAGAAGGAAATTTAAGTCAAATTCAAAATATTATCGCACTCCATTCCTTAATCTAAATAATGTTATTTCTAATTGTATCAGAACTTTCTGCCATGGGGACTGGGATGTATAAGTTATAAATTGTATGCTAAACTTCTTTATACAATTTAAATGCAAACTACTCAGCCACTGTCTACGAATATATGTACATGTGTGTGTCTTCATGTCAGCTAAATACAATCAAAATATGGTGTGTTGAGTGTGTGAAAGGCGCCGGGTGTGCGTTACGTGATGCATCCCTCTGACACGCTTTACCAAATCACGTGAAATGCGCCCCCTGTTTTATACCAGCGGCTATTTTAAAAGCATATCAACCAACACAGCACACACTCGGTTGAGGGATGAAAAAATGAACAGCAGTTTTCCAGGCAAAAGTCGAGTACAGCCCATCAAGCATGTTATCGGCAGAATAAATCTTTACAGCATAAATCTATTTGCCGCAAGACTAATGCTTTATACAGCTGCATCAGAATATCTGTATTTTAAAGTATCATACAAATCCTAATTTCATCCACAAGATACTAATGGTATGTAGTGCAAAACTTTCAAATTACATTTTTAGAAAACTAAAATAAGAAATACAAGCATGAAAATGTCACACTGACTTTGGAAATATTTTCCAGAGCTTAATTTAAAATATGTGATAAATAATAGAGTTCTAGTAAAAATTATATTATATTGCAACGAGGGTTAAAAACGTGAATTGAAATTGGAAGCTAAAATTTTAAATTTTCCATTTCAATCTTAGAAGTAGCATAGATAATTTGATTTGCATGTGAAATAACCAAAAATCTCCCCGAAAGATCCTCAAAAGCTATATGTTTGCCTTCATCCAATATTGATCAAACTTGATTCACGCTGATTTTTAATATTGTTATCTTGCGCACGCGGCTGATAGAGAGCGAGCAAACGACGATTTCACTTCGATGCCAGCGCGCTTATCAATATTCGGCGCATTACACACAATAAGAAAAGTGACACACACTGCACGTAAAAGCTCGCGCGCACCATACGAAATCGCTTATAACACACGTCGGAAAGTAATCAGACAATTATTGCATATTGTCATATCCCGTCACGAAAGCGCCAATATCTATTAACACGCCTTTAGAGCGTTGGGGAAAAACGAATTATCGCGCAAAGGGCTCGCAATACGTTCGGCAAATCAAAGTCCGTTTCTCAAAAATCATTCGGTGACCTTCTTCAGACTTCAAATATTATAAAAAGAATTGAACATTATCATGGATCATGGAAAGAAAACTCTTCTTCATCACTCGACAGTAGAAACGAAATAAAAAATGTAAGCTGTTGGTTTTATCCTCTCGCAGTCTGCTCAACTGCCCATTGCAGCGGACATCATTAGTCAAAGAGCTAACAAGACGCTTTTTGAGGCGCACTGCGATGTTTTCCCTAATGTGAATTTGATAGTGGCTAAGTGAGCGGAATAAAAGGCTCATTACGCTTGGCACAAGTGACGCGGCAGATTGCATTGAGCGGCCGTGAGAATTGCTAATTCTCATCCGAACTTGCCGTAATTGTGGACGCATCAAGTGTGGACCTCCCCGGTGCACACTTGCACAGCAGCACACGCAATTCGATCAGTCGTGGTAAAAGGACTGGTATTTTATCATTTATATTTTCATGGTATCAAAAGTTTTCCTGTTGTGTTGAAGTTTAATTGAAAAAATTCTAACTGTTAAATTTGTTCAAATTATAAAAAAAAAATTTTATTTATATTTCAAGAAATTTTTTTAATTTCTCAAGATATTAGGTAAGCGCTATTTAGTATTTTATTTATTAAGTATTTTTTTTTATCCCATTTTCATTGCTATGCCGATGCTATAGAGATTCTATGCAACCTGCTTTGCTCCATTGTTTAGCGGAGCAGCTTTCCTTTCAAGTTCAGGGGCAAAGTGTTAGAAAATAAAAATAACATTATTCCACTCAATTTAACCTTTTAAAGCTATATATAAAAATAATAAAAATTTTCTGTCATTGCGCCTACCAGTGAAAATTCCCAAGTGTCAGAAAGAAAAAGCTATCACAGCTTGGCAAAGGTGCTGTCAATACACGCAGCAGAAAATAAGCCGGCGTTCAAGTTGGAATTAAAAGTGTGTGTAATGATGCCCGCCACCCTGGCCGCTTCGGTGAAAAGCAGGCCACACACCTGCGCTCGAGACGTGTGTTTGTTTGCATCTCACACCTAACTACAATCATTTACAGATGATTTGCCGCGCACTAAGAGAGTGTTTTGGCCGGCAGCAGCAGCGGCAACACTTAATGCCTCGCGCTTTGTTAACCTCGACGCGGCTCAGCCTCCTTCAGATAAACGCAAATTTAATTCCTCTATGGCCGTCACTCATAGCAGCGTCGATTCAATAGGCCTCGAGCTGTTTGGGAAATGCACGTCTTTTGAGGACGCTGCTTTTAATGGGGCGATAAATAGGCCATCAAAACAGCCTATTACGATGCGAGAGCTGTTTTCATCAAGTTATTGGTCTGTCTGTCATTGTTGCAATTGTTGAGATGCGTTTTTGGAGCGAAAAACTATTTCAAGAGCGGAAGAGGAAGAGCCATACATAAAAATTTTACTATTCTCATTTCAGCAAAATGCAGTGAAAATTGCTGATTGGTAAATGTATTCTTATTATTCCAAATAAAATACATCCTAAATTTTAGCGTGTCTACCTACAAAAAATACTCAAATTTCAAAGCAATGGTGAAGAAAATTAAAAAAAAAAATACATGAAAAAGAAAACTTATGACACATACAATAATATTTCAATAATTTTTTAAAAATTTTTTTTGCCCAACAAATATCTAAGATATAAATTGGCAGAGACATACAAAAATCAGTTGTTTAAAGGCCACAGGCAGTTCCAACAATGCGAAACGAATAAAGTGATAAATCTGAAACTTCTTACAAACTTTGTTGTGGTTATGAGTTAAAATGTCTTCAATTTAAAAAAAAAATTGTATCGCATGAAGGAACCGCATATATTATAGTTTCTAAAATTATTAAAAAATCTTTTAATTTACGCTACATTTACATATTTTTAATTTTTTTAAAAATTAAACCATTTTAATTTTCCAATAACTTATTATTAAATAATAATTTTTAATATATTTATTTTATGTAGTGTTATTTAATGTTTATGATTTATTAAAGAGGATTTGAAAAAAGTGGAAAAAAGTATGAAAAGTGATATTATTTATAAAAATTAATTTTTTAAAATTTTATTTAGCCAATTTTACAGTCTGCCAAAATAAATCGATTATCTTTGCTTGAAAAATTAATACTCATGAGATGGGGTTCTTAAAATTTGAAGTAATAATTTAAAGTGACGAAATAATTTTCAAAATATTATAATCCTCACCTGTAGTCATCTTCGATGCCTCCAAAGTCGCCCTGCGCCATTGCCCACGAGTGGTGGTCGAGGTGTTCAACAAAGTGCTCCTCGTACATGTTGTTTGGCCCAAAGTTGCCGCTGTTGGGGACAAAAATGTGTTTCTGGCCCCTGGGCTGCGAGGGGGTGGCTTGGTGGTGATGCTCCAGTGTGCCGAGCGAGACAGACAGCCGATGATTGAAGGCTGCACTGGCAAAGCCGCCGAGGTCCACCTGGCCATATTGGGTCTGATAACGCGGCTCCGTGATAACAACAAGCGCAACCCGCGGCTGACAAGGCAGGAGCTGCTGATAAAAAAAAATCATCGCCGGCCGCCGGCCAAATCTCGGCCGCGAACTGCTCGATTGATTGCCGTGGAATTGGGAAAGCACTCGAGTAAACGTCTCATCCTCAAGGGAAAAGAAAAAAAAATCACAGCACGCGCCTAAATAACTATGAACTCCGTACAAATTTCAAAAATACTTATTAATTTAATTATTAAATTTTTTGTTCAGTAAAAAATAATATTAACGAGTAAAAAAAGATATTATATAGATGTATTCAAATTGACGGTCAAACGTTTCTCTATTATTTTGATTTTTTACAGGTAAAATTAAAATTATCTCTGCTGAATTAAAATATTCTTAAAGATTATTAAACGCTGGGTGGAAATTTGTTGTCAAACTGTTTACATTATGTTGGTAGCAACTGCAATTTTCAATTTTGCTGCATAGCTCTGCAATATTGTGATCAACAAGAATTGTGATGGCGCAGCGGTGAGAGCGAATTGTGAGAGTTTAGAAAAAGAGGATGCGAGCGTCCGACAGGCATGAGAATGGTTGGTATCGTCCCCAATTGAAGCGCAAAATTATTTCCAACTGCCCGGATAACATTATTCCATAGGAGGTTAGACATTCCTTTCCTTCCGCGCTGCCTCGTTGATAGTTGCAGATTCGCTCGCAAGAGGCCACTGCTAATCAGTTTGTTTTCATCAGCTGGCGCGCTCGTGTTTTCGTCTTTAAAATTCTTGTCTGAGAAATTACGATTTAATTCAATTTATTGCAGTAAGTGTCTTGATGCGAGTTGTATTTTGCGAAAATATTTTACCCAAGTTTATAAATATTTCTTGAGTAAAATGCCGATCACGCCGGTGCAGTTTGAAAGCTCTCGGGCCAAAGACCAGGCCCGACAGGACCTTCGAGAAGCAAGGGAACGAGCTATGGAACAGGTTCAATCGAAATCACGTAATATTTTATTTTGACTATTATGAATTCCGCAGGCAAAATTAAAACACGACAGACGCGTTGCTGACGAAGAGAGGGCTAGAGAAAGAGGTGACGATAAATGGATGCTTCCGTCGGTCGAAGCCCGGCTTGCAGAGGAGTCCGGCAAAAAGAGCAAAAAGCACAAGAAGGAGAAAAAGCAAAAGAAGAAAAAGAAGAAGCACAAGAAGGAATCCAGTTCTTCAGTATAATTTTTCTGATATTTATTATTCTAATTAACCGACATTTTAATCAGGACAGCGACACTGACAGCAATTCTGATGACGAGTGGGTTGTGAAAGGTGAGAAGAAAAGCAAGAAAAAGGAGTCAGCAAAGGAAAAACCGGCTGAATCTGCTGGTGAAACGTCCAAGCCAGTTCGAGACGATTGGATGATGCTGCCGGATTTAGTTCCGTGCATTACCAGGGATGAGATCAGACAAAGTCGGAAGCCCAAAGAGGAAAGAGAGGCAGAAGAGAAAAAGAAAAACGTTCTGGACAATGTAATTCCATGATTTATTATGTATGCAATGTTAATCTTCCTAATTTAAATTTAGCCAGGGCAGTATGAGAAGGAGTTGAATCCATACTGGAAAGACGGAGGAACTGGTCTGCCTCAAATGGAGAAAAGTGACGAACTAAAACTTCCGAGCAAAACTGTGGGAGACCAAGGAACTGGCTGGCTCCGAAAAGCTCTGAAAAGGATTTACGAACAAGCTGAAGAGACTGGAGAAGATCCAGAAGACATTGCTTCTGAGAGATGGGGTGTAAGTCTTTACTAAAGTTTTGAGCTCGATTTTATTTCCTAACTTTTAGTCCTTGGAGAAGCTTGAGAGTATGATTGCTGACGCCGAAGGACGCAAAAGATCTGAAATTAGAGATAGTTTTCATCGTGGCTCAAAAGGCCAAGGTTCACGTCCGAGATTTGCACGTCCCCGAGATGATTACGAGGAACCGAGAGGGAGAGAAAAGGAAACTGGGCGCAGTAGCTTTCGAAAGCCTTCTGATGATGATCTTGAAAGCCGTCCTGGACCGAGTTTCTCCAGAGGACGTTCCGAACGAGAGTGGGATAGAGATAAGGTGAGGGATAAGAGATCTCCTGACAAGACAAGAGATAGGGGACGGGATAGAAGGTCTTCAGAACGGCCCAGAGACAGAAGATCGCCCGAGAGATCTCGAGATAGGAGGTCACCGGACAGATCAAGACGGTCGCCTGATTCACGCAGGGAGAAGAGGTCCCCAGACAGGAGAAGCTACCAAAGACCTCGGGATGATGATTTTGAGGAGGATCGGCGGAGAAGACCTGATTTTGATAGAAAAGTGGATTTGAAGAACAAATTTCAGAAACCTAGGGACGAAGATGATGGATTCAGTTTAAAACCAGCTAGGTCTTCTGGTGGTGTTAAAAGTTGGCGCAAAAAAGCTGAAGAGCCTGCAAGAGAAGAAAAGCCGAAAGAGGAAGTTGCCACCACCTCGAGGAGTAGCAAACAAAGGTTACCTTCTTCATCAGAATCATCCAGTTCTGAAGAGGAGGAACAACCAGAGCCTGCCAGACCGCAGCTTTTGACTGAAAAGGAAATGAATGAAATTGGAGCAAAAATTGTCAAAGCTGAAATTTTGGGAAATGACGTGAGCTATTTCGAGAAGTAATTTTTTATTTTAAATTAAAATTTGATTAACAGGCACTGGCAGCAAAATTGAAGCAGCAGTTAGAGGAGGCAAGGACTTCGAGAGAAGAGGCCAAGGCAGCAGGCGTGAACCTGAATAAACTGAAAGAAAATAAAGAGGAAGTGGTCATTCTCACAAAAACAGACTCCAAGGGTTTCACCAGGCCCATTCAAGAGCCAAAGTACAAAGAGCCAACAGGTGGCAGACGCAAGAAGCAAAAGGTCGCCACTCACAACAAACAAGGCGAGAGGGAACGCTACTTCCCTGATGACGACAAATACTCCCTTCAAGATATTGTAAATAATTTCTAACTTGTATTTAACATCTTCATTAAAATTTTTGTATCTGCAGTTCACCAGGGAAAAACTCAATACAGTTGAGGACAGCAATAATGAGTTTGCCAAACTGGTTTCCAAGGTTAGCATAATTATAATTTTTTAAATCATTTGGTAATTTTGAATTTGCAGGGTACAAAGCATGCCGGGAAAGGAGAATTTGACATGGACGAGGTGTTTGAGGAGAAGGCGCGGATGAAGGAAGCGGACGCCAAAACACAGGCCAGAGAAAGGGACCAAGCCGTGCGGGAACACCAGAGGGCAAGCAATGCCCTCGACAGCTGTCAGTGGTGTGTTGACAGCAAGAAAATGCTCAAGCACTTGATCGTTGCTCTGGGATCAAAAGTATTTACTTGACTGAAATCAAGCAAATATAACTAAAATTATTTTTCAGGTTTGCCTGTGTCTCCCTCCATACCAGTCATTGACAGAGGGACACTGCCTGCTGGTGCCAACCTCACATGCTACCTGTGCAACAATGCTGGACGAAGATGTATGGGAGGAAATGCAAGTAAGTTGTGAAATATTTATGTCTGTTTATCCTACACTTAATCCTTATAATTGTAATTTGCAGACTTTCAGGAAAGTCTTGACAAAGATGTTTTTATCAAAAGATGAGGATGTGATTTTCTTTGAAAATGCTCGGAACATCAGAGGATTTCCTCACATGGTCATGGAGTGTGTTCCTGTCGATAGAGATTCAGGAGCATTGGCACCAATTTATTTCAAAGTATTAACATTTTATTTTCTTTAAATATTTTTCTAATAGCTGCAAATTTAGAAAGCAATTCAAGAGTGTGAGATGGAATGGGCTACAAATGTGAAACTTGTAAACCTGGCTGGAAAAGGTCTTCGAAGAGCAATTCCGAAAGGTCTGCCGTATTTCGCAGTGAACTTTGGAACGGACGATGGATTTGGCCACGTTATCGAAGATGAGACTACTTTCCCACCAAATTTTGCACAGGTAATTTTTTTAATAAAAACGAGATGTTAAGCCAATTAATTGTATTTTAGGAAATTATTGGTGGCATGCTGGACCTGGACCACCAGCTTTGGAGGAAACGACATAATGAAAATTTTGAGGTGCAGAGGAAGAAAGTAGTGGCATTTTCTAAAGACTGGGCTCCATTTGATTTTACAAGAAAAAGGAAGAGAGACAGTTCGTCCAGTTCAGATTCAGACTGATTGTTTTTCTTTGTAATATATTTTGAGGCATTTTTCCATTTTCTAAATGCAATCACAATAAAAAAATACAACGAAATTATCTGAATTTTAATGATTGAAATTCACCTATATAAATAGTATTTTTATTAGAAATTTTTCTTTATTGAGCTAATAAAAAATTAAATATTAAAAAAAGTCATCCGTCATCCATGCAAAATACAGAACTTATATTTTTTTATCATTCAAATATATATATATATTTTTTTTTTTTAATTTAATATCGATGTGATTTTAAAAATTATGACCAAATAATTATTTTTGAGAAAGTAAAGTTGAAAAATATTAAATATTCGAAAATATTATTTTTACTATTGTAAAAAAAAGTACATAATATAACTATGTATGTATATACGTTGTAAAATCGTGATCGCCACGACAAAGCGCGCGAGTAATTAGATACCAACATAACCAAGAGAATTCTCGCGCAGGAATTACGTTGGACGGTTGGCAGCCCTACATAAATAAAAGCGTAAAAAGCGTTTGTTTATACATAAATCCGGACGCCTCAGAATTTAATAAAATGTAAGTAAAAATCTAAATATTTCTGTGTCATCTTAGCTGAAATAATAAATCTTAGCGTCAATTTACGTTCAGTGCTAAATTTGAAATCCATCGATATGCGTTACAGTGCATTTTTCACATAAATTTCATTATTTTAGGGTTCGGAATAAGAAAGATCCTGCCGGCAAAAGCGGTTCTGACTCGGAGGCGTCAAACAAAGAAAATAAGAAAGAAAGAGGCCGAGATAAAGAAAAGAAAAAAAGGAATGCGTCCTCATCCAGTGACAGTTCTCGCAGCAGGTATATTTTTCTCAAGTTAGTCCTGCGGACAGTTATTTTATTTGTAAAATTTGTTTTGCAGCTCATCCAGCAGCAGTTCCCGCTCGTCCAGTGGCTCTTCAAGTTCTAGAAGCTCATCTTCCTCTTCGGGATCTTCATCAAGGTCCAGTTCCAGCAGTTCTGGATCGTCAAGCGGCTCAAGCTCTCCTAGGCGGGGTCGCAAACAAAAGAGGAAGTGAGTTAAATCTTCGTGCTTTTAATCAAACTTATCCATTTCCCTTCCGACTGAAATGAAAGAACTAATGACTCACGCAATTTATTTTTAGGGGAAGTGGAAGCAGAAGCCGTAGCCCAACTGACAAAAGGAAGGCTATTGGTGCGGCCGCTGAAAAGGTCAAGGACAAAGACAAGAAGTCTGACGAAAAGCCGAAAGGCAGAGCAAAGTCAAAATCTCGCTCTCGGTCAAGATCTAGGTATGAAAAGACTCAACCATAATTCACAGTAAATTAATTAAAATCGATCTTAATAGATCAACTTCTGCAAAGCGCGCTGCTGCAGCTAAAAGAAGGCGGTCACCAACTCCAAAACCAATTAAGATCCACGTTGGAAATTTGACTCGCAACGTCAACAAGGAGCACATCACGGAGATCTTCACCACTTTTGGGACAATTAAATTCTGCGACTTTGCAGTCGACCGTCTCAACAACAACAAAGGGTACTGCTTCATCGAGTTCAACTCCCCTGATGATGCTGAGAATGCAATGAAGAACATGGACGGGGGACAGATTGACGGGCAGGAAATAACCTGTGCTCCTGTCCTTGCTGTTACTCGTCCACCAAACCGAAGGCCTCCTATCAGACGCTCTCCCATACCAAGACGTTCTCCTCCCAGATGGAATCGAGGACCGCAGAGGTCAGTAAATAGCTTGCCATTAAAGCTATTTTAAAATTAAGTGACCGATTGGAATTAATTCAAAAAATTGTGAATAATTGAAAAGCCAAGATACAAACAATAAGAAATAAAACAGGATATTAATTCAAGTTTTTCATCAGGTTCCGTGGAGGTGGCGGAGGAGGAGGACGCAGACCATCTCCTCCTGGTCGGCGCCGTTCACCTATCAGACGTCGTCCTCGTTCCCGATCTCGTTCTCGCAGCCCAGCACGCAGGCGCCGTTACAGCCGATCCAGCTCCAGCAGCTCTCGTTAATCAAGCAAAATTGTGTTTCCAAGTTCAAATCACACACAAGGTGGCACCGGTGTGAAAGTTTTACTAGTTGCATCACTGTGGCTGCAATCATTGATGTCTTGTGTTTCTAGATGGTAATTTCAGCATTTTAAGCAAACTAAAATCTGTTGTCTGCAGTAACCTGTTGCAGACTGAACTTATGGTAACTTTAGAAACTTGAACTTTATTTCACTTTGTATATAATTGAGCAAAATTTTCAATTAAACTTGACTAGAACAATTTGAAGCTTCTCATTTGCAATGTATAAGATTTATGGTATTCTGCAATTTAACCAAAATGAACAAGTAAACATCAAGAAGTCAGTCTCTGGCAGACATAATCTCAGTTTATTTTAAACAAAAATAATATGCAATGCCTTACCGTTGCCATTTTATTAAAATTGAACTTAATACTAATTTTGAGAAAAATTTTCTTGAAGGAGCATGAACATACAATAATTATAATTTTGATTTTTTTTCCCATAATAAGAGTTTCTTGGATTATTTTTTCCCAATGTTCCTCACTTGCGTCAATTTTCCTTACTTTCTTTTAGCATGCTCCCTTTAGACAAGAGTGGGGTTTGCAAGGTCCGTGTTATCAAAATATTATTTCCTGGTTGCTGCCTTTTGTTTATATTACACTTCCTGTACACAATCAGTCCGAAGTAAACCATAATGAGGGTGTTGTGAGATTGCAATTATTCATTATTCATAGACCTGCGACATGTTTCCACACAGAACAGAGGTACTAGATTTTTTTTAAATAATCATCTTTGGGTTCCCTAATAATTTATTATTTTGGAGTCCATGCCGACGGTATTTCCAAAAAGATTGTACACCTACGATATGGCAGAAGACGACGCGTTGACTTTAAAAGAAGCATTAAAGGGAATATTAATAGACGACAAAAGGATAATTAACATTTTGACCAATCGATCAGCAGAGCAACGGCAAATGATAGCTGAAAAATACATGTCATGCTATTCAACGGTATTTATATATTTACAATTCAATGTTTTTATTTTTAGTTACACCCAAAATTAATTTTTAATCCGTTTATGAGTAGAATCTTGTTGATGATTTGCGAGCATTGTTAGTCTCAAGCGACTTTGCAAGCACTTTGGTAGCGTGGATGACACCCTTGCCACGATTTTATGCGCGGGAACTGCGTTATGCTATCACAGGGTTTAGGAACCATAACGATGAAATTTGTGAAATCCTCTGCTCGCTGAACGTAAATAATTTGTTGGCTGTCAAAACTGCATACCTGGAGTGTAAGGATATGCCATGAAACTGCCAATTTTTATTTAATATTTTAATAAACTATAAATATTCGAAGCATTTGGAAAAACAGTGGAAGCTGACATCGAAGACCAAAACTTCCCACCGCAGTTCAAACAATTTATTCTGAGCCTTTGCAAATGCTTCAGGAACGAAAGTGATACACTCAATGCTGCTAAAATATCAAACGACGCGGACGCAATTTACATAGCATGTAAAATTTTAAGTCCACAAAAAGGAAGTCGGAATAATTTTTGATTAAATAATAAAGGCAATAGGGATTTCGAGGCCAGTGAGAGTGATGTTCAAGTCGTATCGGAAATTCTTACAATGCGCAGTTTATCACATCTGCGAGAATTAAGTGAAGAGTTTCATGCCCTTTTTGGTAAAGATATTGAAAAGGTCGTCAAAGATTCTTTCGCACCGCCTATTAAAGATGCGTTTGTGGCAATGCTGAATTTCGCATGTGACTCGGATGGATTTTTCGCCGAGCGACTCTACAACAGCATGGTTGGACTCGGCACGCGAGATCGTGACCTGATCAGACTGATCGTTACCAGGGCGGAAATTGACCTGAGTGGCATCAAAGTCGCCTTCCTGCACATGTACGGAAAAACTTTGGAATCTTTTATTGAGGCAAGAAAATAATTAAAAATATAAGCATGAAATAAATATATTATAAAATATTCATTTGCTTTAGGGCGATTGCTCTGGCGTGTATAAGAAATTGCTTTTGGCCCTGGCGACTCCATCAGTATTGAAAACAGGGTGAGCGTTGACGAGTTTTGGCAAAACGTATAAATACAAAATGGATTTCAACCATATCAAGAAAAAATGAAGGAAACATACTACATAATATTATTTTATTGGCTTGTGATTAGAATAAGTAAAATTTAAATATTAAAAATTAACGCGATAGAATTTAAAAATTAATAAAACACAACTAAAAACTGAAAAAAATTATTTTTTTTACCAAACTATGGAGCACGGAGCACTATGGAGATTTACTATTTACTGTAATTGTGTGACTGCTGGTTTACAAAAAAATAAGGAACGTGCCAAATTTTCAACTTATAAACCACTTGATAGTCTTATATTTTAATATTGACATTAAAATACTTTTAACATAACACAACACACTACGTGTATAACAGCTTATTTGTGCTGCAGGATGTATAGCTCAAATTTAGCAGGGTTTTTGCATTTAGTTTTATTTTTTAGCGCTCGTTTCATTTCAAATTAGATGCTTTTTATTTCTTTTTTGTAAATTAGGAAAACGTGAACGGAAGTTTCAAAATTACGCTCCTCAAAGTCCTCAATATTGCCCGTTTTATTTGCTTCTCTCGCCGCGAGGGGCAGGCGCGTTTGACACGTCGTCACTAAACGCCTCAAACCTCAAACCTGCCTCAAACAAACAAGAGCCCCGCCACCGCTGTTCGCTGTTATTTTCAATTTTCACTTGCCGGCAAGCCTCGCAGCAGGTGCTCGACATCGCGATAAGCCTTCTTGAAAAGCGCAAAAAGTAAGATTATAATTATGCGTCTTCTCCATTAGCAATCGTAGGGTACGTTCGAAGGTTTTGGAGGGGAATATTGGACAGTAGTTTTTTCTTAATTATATTATCCAGGAACCGTATACAGCGCAGTAAATTCCTTCATTTTGTGAAGGTGGTCTCTCCTGTCTTATTCCCTAGGCGTCTAGGCGAGTGTATTTTGGGTGGAGCTAAATTTAGGCTTTTGATATTAGACTTCCTTCAGAGCCTTGAACTACGACTTTTGCTATGCATTCAATTTGAATAAATATTTTGCATAATATACAAAATATATTATAGCATACATAGCATTGAAAAAATATGGAATCTGTTAAAAAACAACATTCAGGATACTTTTTTGTAATTTATTGAATGATTAAATTGACAATGACTAAAATGGTTGCAAATGGCAATTTTTAATTCAAGCTCTAAATCACTCTAATTATTGAGCAAACAACATAATGTACCTTGCACCTAATGTGACCTTTTTTAACCTTGACGAGTTCCCTATCTTTCTGGAGGAAAATGAATTTCTTATCTAGATTAATGCGACAAATACTTTTTCCTCTGACCTCTGACGTTGTTATAATGCCCAGTGACCGCCTCTAATTTTTTGCCTCCTATATTAAAATATTGTGTTATCGCGCGCATTAATAGTCGCATGCTTTCCGAAAGTGAGCATAGTCCGGCCACTCATCCTTCGATATTTGCTGTACACATATTTTGTGCCTATTTGTATTATTATGAGAGAAAGGCTAAAGCGGCTCGCGACCGATCGAGGAATATCGCTCGCGAGCCCGCCGATCGAGGCAGGTCGTGTTGATTGAGAACAATAAAGGTTTACTTTACCTTTTAAGTGCCTTTTGTTTCCCTTCCAAAATCATAACAACGTCAAGAGTCCAGCCATTAATTGTATTACATTTTATTTTCTCATGCTTTGGCTCTACAATTCCTTGCGTCTGTAAGATTTGGATCGAAAAGTATGTGGCCACATAGGCTCGATCCGCTGTGTTGTTGTATTCGCCGCGAAGGTGGGCGTCGTAGCCGAGTGGGCTAGGCGGGGAGCCGCTGGTTGACTGAATGAGTTGGGTTGTTATTCTGAGTTTGTATGTTGCGTCATCGGCAGAGTCGCTACATCAAGTCCCCCCCAAGAAGCGGAGCGCAGAGGGCGTCGTCGGCAACTTCTTGCGTGGGTGAGCGTGTCGTGGCGGAGGCACCCCCAAACCTGCTGCGCCGTGGTTGACAGAGGCCGAGGAGTTGATGCGGTGTTGCCGGTAGATGTCGTGTTGATTGTTAGATGAACGGTCGCCGGTTCCTGCAGGAGGCGTGTCTCGGACTGCAGTGCACGGGTTCTGGGCACCAATGTAAGATTTGGATCGAAAAGTATGTGGCCACATAGGCTCGATCCGCTGTGTTGTTGTATTCGCCGCGAAGGTGGGCGTCGTAGCCGAGTGGGCTAGGCGGGGAGCCGCTGGTTGACTGAATGAGTTGGGTTGTTATTCTGAGTTTGTATGTTGCGTCATCGGCAGAGTCGCTACACGTCCAAGGCTAGGAGCATTTTAAATTTCTCAGGTGACTCACCTGAGTGAGTTTCGCTCTCACGTCATACATATACGTCATTACTATGACGTTAGCAAGTTAAATTCAGTGACGGCAATAGTAAATGAGTAGGGGTTCGTCCCGCTTACTAAGGAGCTTTTATATTGATAGCGCGTGCATTATCTTGTATTTATTTTCAGGGCTGGCTTTGAAGAGAAGCAGTCGCTTGACTTCCATTGCAAAAAGAACTCGCAGTTGAATATCTGGAAAAATGGCCTACCCTGGATATCCACCGCAGGTAAAAATATTTATTATTTTCCTATTTGTATGTAAATTGGGGGGGTGCTTTTACTATACGAAAAAAAAAAATAATAATAATAATTAACAAAATGGTGTATTAATTTTTTTTTTTAAATCAATTAATGCATTCAGCTATATCAATTATTTGCTATATAGTTAATAGTTTGTACTGAAATACAGCGGGAATCTTTCAAGAGAAAATTTACAGTTTAAATTTATTGATAAAAAAAAACAGAATATGCAATTAAGCAGTATAACTAATGAAAAATACTTTTAAAAAATTTGGAAGAAGTAAATTAAAATATATGACACTTATTAAATTAGAAATTAATTTATATTTTCAGATTTTCCTTGATAAAAACATGATACTAATTTCATATAATTGAAATAAGTCAAATCATTTCATTTCTTTAACATTGAAGATTGAAGTATCAAAAGAGTAATTCATTTAATTTTTCTTCCCAAAACCAGCAACCATACCCAAACCCTAATACTATGCCACCTTATCCTTCCCAGGGAGGATACCCTGGTGGACCACCACCTACGGGTTTTAACCCAATGTACCCTTCTCAAGGGGTTGGACCTTATCCTGCTTACCCTTCCGCGGTGCCAGGTTATCCACCTGCCGGCGCCCCAGGTTACCCTCCGGCGGGATATCCTCCAGCAGGCTATCCTCCGGCAGGCTATCCTCCGGCGGGCTATCCTCCGGCGGGTTACCAACAAGCAGGCTATCCTCCGCCTCAAGGGTATCCTCCCACTTCCGCTCCTTACCCAGGTGGCACCCCCGCAGCAGAGTACCAACAAGCTCCCGTCTATGGGGGTGCTGCCCCTCCTCATGCTGGTGCTGCACCAACTGCTAGAGCAAAGCAGGTAAATTAAGCGTGTTTTTCTCTAACCAAAAAGCTTTGAATTGAAATTTTGTGGTTTTGCTTACTTAACTGATTTTTTTTTATAATTAGGAGACATACGAGTTGGCTCTTTTTGCGGCGTTTACAAAATACTATAGTACACTATAGTATAATATTATATTTTTATTCAAGTGAAAATTTAGGTCGTTGATTAAAAAAAACATCAGATGCATTCATATATTATTAATTATTTGCATGGTTGAAATGAAAATAGCAAATTAATTAAAAACTAAAAGAGAAATAAATCTATAACTTGTTTTTTTATAAATCTGAAATAAATTTTTTTATTATATTGTCAAGTTAAAGTCGCTGAACCGCGTCAGTTTGACCACATGATTAAAAGTGGCTTTTGTAAATTATCTTATCGCTTAATTCTGTTATCTTTTCTTCACACCGCAGCGCTTGTTAGCTTTGCAAGTCTAGGTGGATCAATTGTCGCTACAAGAACCCAAGGACCATGCGGGACCATGTTAAATAATAAAAATTGATATTGCACTAAATTAAAGTTAGTTTGGATACTAAAAAAAAATAGATAGTATTGGAGGGAGTTAAATAAAATTAATCATAATTTGATAATAAAGAAAATTTTTGTATTGACCGAGAAGAATAAATAATAATAACAACAGTTTTTTTTTCATTTTGTGCATGTTGCTTTCTTTGATTTGTTTTCTAATTCAACATTTTTGATTATAATAAATATTTATAATTATTTTAGACTTTACGTAGCGAGCTCTCAACTATCACTCAATTGAATTTGGATGATTTTTGCGATTTATTCTCTTTTTTTGCCGAATTTTTGTTGTAAAGATATTTGAAAAAGAAAAAAATAATGCTATTCTCAATTGACTGTTTTAGTTTACTCCAACCGTCCGTCCAAAACAGCCATATGGCCCAGCTGATGAAGAGGCTGATGCCGCTGCCCTGCGAAAGGCCATGAAGGGGTTCGGAACAGATGAAAAAGCCATCATTGCTGTTTTGGCGAATCGCTCCAACCAGCAGCGCCAGTTGATTGCAAGGAAATTCACTGCTCTTTACGGAAAAGTATTTTAACAAGTTCTTTTTCTTCATGGGAAATATTAAATATTGTGTGTTAAAAAAAAATAGGACTTGCTGAAAGATTTGAAGAGTGAATTGGGCGGAAAGTTAGAAGATGTGGTCTTGGCTTGCATGACCCCTCTGGACCAGTACTTCGCAAAAGAGCTGAACCACGCTATTTCTGGACTGGGCACTAACGAGGAAACTTTGATTGAAGTTTTGTGCTCCCTCAACAACGTCTGGATTCACGCCATCAAGAATGCGTATCAGCAACGTTAGTATTTTCTCTAAATTATACAAATCTGAACCATATTTCTTCTAGCCAATTTAAAAATTATAAATTTTTAATTTAGTATACAAAAAGTCACTCGAGTCTGACATTAAGGGTGACACTTCTGGTTGCTTCGGGCGCCTTCTGATCTCCCTTTGCCAGGGAATGAGGGACGAAAGCCCTGTTGTTGACCCTGGACGTGTGGCAGCCGACGTTGCGGCTCTTTTCCAAGCTGGTAAATTTTCACATAAAAATTTAATTTGACACAAACTAAAAAATTCTCATTTACAGGCCAGAAAAAAATTGGCACTGACGAATCTACCTTTAACGCCATTCTGTCCAGCCGCAGCCTGTCTCACCTCAGGGAGGTGTTCAGGCAGTACCACCAAACTCACGGGGTGCCCTTTGAAAAGGTCATCAAGTCAGAGTTCTCTGGATCCATCGAGACGGGCCTTTTGGCCATTGTCAAGTGCATGACTGACTGCTCCACTTACTTTGCTGAGCGCCTGCATGACAGCATGGCGGGAGCAGGAACCAAGGACAGAGCTCTGATAAGGATCGTCGTCTCAAGGTCTGAGTGTGATCTTGGGGACATCAAAGTTGCTTTCCAACAGAAGTACGGAAAGAGTCTCGAGAGCTTCATTGAGGTATGTTGTAAATTTTTCTTTCTATATGTATGGTTTTAATATTTTTTGTTAATTTTAATAGGGCGATTGCTCTGGGGACTACAAGAGAATCCTAATTGCCTTGGTTACTGCCTAATATGGTCTTTTTATTGAAATACTATATAACCTCCATACTAAATTCTTCCATTTAAAGCTTCTTTGCATTTATACAAAATAATGAAATATCGTATTAAAATACGCATTAGCAAAGAGCAGCATTTTGACTGTTATATTTGAGAAACTGATTAACTCCTAAAGATAAATATTAATCCATGATTTGTGAAATCATCTTTTGAGCTTCCTTGCACTGCGTGTCTTGTTGATTAAAAAAACAACGATTTAATGTTATCAAATCAAACAATTAAATGTAAATATATTCTTGCTATAACCAATCCACAAAAAGGCATAATGCATTATCAATTTTTGAATAAACCAAATTTTACTCCAGTATGTGATGTAGTTTATTACATTGATTAAAAAAAAAATTCTTAAACAATACGTTAATATATATGCCGGAAAGTTTCAAAAATACGCTCGCCACAGCACGGTCTCCTGTAGTTAATCATCTCGCCGCTTCGCAGCAAAGGGCAGCGGCGCACCGACAGGAGACGCCTTGCCTTAACACGTCACTGGTGCTCCAAAAACGCTGGTGTTGTTTTCTAGCCGGCTTTAATTGAAAGCGATAATATTTGCTTATAATTGAATCGGTATTCAACGTTGCGACAAGACCATCACAGAACGTAAGTTTCCTGGTTTTCTTTTTGAGATATTATCCTCTTTGCTTATTTTCAACAACCTCGGAAAAAGTATTTTTGTCAGAGCAAAATTAAGACCGCCTAGGCCCTGGGGGATTGTTTTTTTTTTAATATTCAATGCAAAATCAACGCAAAATAATACACAAAAAGAGATAAGCATGAAAGCACAAGCATTATTGATTGTAAGGAAAGGGATCAAAGGGACTGCATGGAAGAAATGCCCCTTTCCTAGCAAAATAATTGTAAAAGCTCTGCTCATTGTCAGTGCATTGGCCTCAATTGCCCTTATTAAGGGGACCACATAATAAATTTTTGCCACAAGTACGCTCTGCAGTGGTGGAAACTGCTGCGCAACGGTCATCGCATGCGGGTGGCATATCGCTCCACGTTTTTTGACGACACGATACAAATAAATAAGCACCGCCAAACCTATGTGCGCATTTATACAATTTTGAAGTGGGCCAACCGTTCTCTGCACTTGAGTGGATCTAATTTTAGGTTTAATGTTATCTGATGATATTTTATATTATATAGAATAAAAAGAAATAAATTATCAATTGAGTCTATAATTAACCCAGATTTTGTGACTTCTAATTAATGCAGTTGACGTAGAAATGATTTATTAATTTTATTTAATAAATCTAATTATTACTAGAAACAATTTCAAATTTTTAATTATGAATTTAAAACAATTTTAAACTTTCATTGCTCAGGCAAATCCTTGCTCTCTATTGCTCTTGGGCCCATGCACAAGCATTTTAAATTTGTCAGGTGACCCGCCTGCGTTAAAGCACCTGAGTGAGTTTTTCTCACGTCATTACTATGACACATACTTTAAAGTTCTATTGTTCTACCTGTAATTATAATCAGCAGGAATCTCCCTCCTAAAAGCTTGTATGTATAATGATAAAGCACGTTTGTGTTGTGTTTCAATGTTCCAGGCTCGTCCTTAAGAGCAGCAGTCGCTTCGCTTCCATTACAAAACGCACCCACGCCACCCACGGTTTATAAGAACCTGCAAAAATGGCCTATCCAGGATATCCACCTCAGGTATTATAAATAATAATTTCGCTAAACTTTTTCTAACGGGCGGATTTTAAATTTTTGCTTTATTTCTTATTTCTTCTTCCAAATTAAAATTTCTGGTGATGGATGATACCTCAACTTAATGATTAATAACAATAACTCAATAAATAATTGATGAGAGATGCTCTATTGCATTTAATTTACAATTTTATTACTCTGCTATTAGAATCGATGATATTATTTTAATGAAATACACGGTGTCATTAATGAAAATTGTTTTATCTCTTTGACCAGCATCCATACCCAAATCCTAACGACATGCCACCTTATCCTTCCCAGGGAGGATACCCTGGTGGACCACCACCTACGGGTTTTAACCCAATGTACCCTTCTCAAGGGGTTGGACCTTATCCTGCTTACCCTCCTGCGGTGCCAGGTTATCCACCTGCCGGCGCCCCAGGTTACCCTCCGGCGGGATATCCTCCAGCAGGCTATCCTCCGGCAGGCTATCCTCCGGCGGGTTACCAACAGGCAGGCTATCCTCCACCTCAGGGGTATCCTCCCACTTCCGCTCCTTTCCCAGGTGGCACCCCCGCAGCAGAGTACCAACAAGCTCCCGTCTATGGGGGTGCTGCTCCTCCTCATGCTGGTGCTGCACCAACTGCTAGTGCAAAGCAGGTAAATTATTGACGACTTTTTCGTAACCCCCGAAAAGCTTGGGATTTGCAATCGCAGTTTTTGCACCTGAAACTGACTGAGTGAGAGCTGAATGGAAATGGCTTTTCTTGCATAATTTTTTATTACACTAATATGATCTCAACTCACGATTCTGATTATTTAAAAAATATTTTGCCCGTGTATTTTAGAGTTAATCTAATAAGAGTAATTAAGGTCTACAATTTAATATTATTTCATATCAATTATTATTGATTTATAAACACTATCTTTTGCTATATGTATATAATATGGAAGTAAGCAAGCTCATTGGTTTTTTCTTCGTGGTCTTTTTAGCAGTTTTCTATGCGCTGCCTGATCAATCATTATTGATAAGCGTGCGCGTAAAAGCTAAATAAAGTCAATAAAATAAAAATCTTGAATTAGAATTATAGATTTATATCTGTTTATATCAATAGCAATGATTTGAGATACGAAAATTTAATAAAAATTAATAAATAATCTACAACAAAATATTCATGTTTTTGCTACTGTGTTTAAAATTTTTGTTCTTCTTATTTTACTTAATTCCAGTGTGCATGAAATTTTTGTGACTAACTCATTTCTTTATTCAAGATTTCTAAAATAATTTTATATTATATTTGAAAGCACTATAGTGTGTCAAAAATACCAAAATTGATTCACTGTTTAAGTTTACACCAACCATCCGTCCGAAAGAGCCATATGGCCCAGCTGATGAAGAGGCTGACGCCGCTGCCCTGCGAAAGGCCATGAAGGGATTCGGCACAGATGAAAAAGCTATCATTGCTATTTTGGCTAATCGCTCTAACCAGCAACGCCAGTTGATTGCAAGGAAATTCATTTCTCTTTATGGAAAAGTATATTGGCATGCTAAAATTTACTGGAAAATTATTCAACCTTTTTTTTTTAATAAAACATTAGAATTTGGTGGACGATTTGAAGAGTGAATTGGGTGGAAAATTGGAGGACGTGGTCGTTGCTTGCATGACCCCCCTTGATCAGTATTTCGCTAAAGAGCTGAACCATGCTATTTCTGGATTGGGCACTAACGAGGAAACTTTGATTGAAGTTTTGTGCTCCCTCAATAACGCTTGGATTCACGCCATCAAGAACGCTTACCAGCAATGTTAGTTATTAATTTTTAATCCAAAAAGTTTTTATTTATGGCTCGTAATAAGAAACAAATAATACTTTATAAATATTAGTAAAAATACATTTGATTACAATTGTTTTCACTAATTTATACTTTAAATTAGTGTATGGTAAGGCGCTTGAGTCGGACATCAAGGGAGACACTTCTGGTTGCTTCGGGCGACTTTTGATATCCCTTTGCCAGGGAATGAGGGATGAAAACCCCGTCGTAGATCCTGGTCTTGTGGCAGCCGACGTGACTGCTCTTTTTCAAGCCGGTAATATTAATTGATTTTTTTTTTAATTTCAAACTAAAAGCTAGGTTTATAGGCCAGAACACAATTGGTACTGATGAGTCCACCTTCAACGCCATTCTGGCCAGCCGAAGCCTGCCTCACCTGAGGGAGGTCTTCAAGCAATACCACCAAACGCACGGAGTGCCCTTCGAGAAGGTCATCAAGGACGAGTTCACCGGATCCATTGAAACCGGCCTTTTGGCCATCGTCAAGTGCATGACCGACTGCTCGAATTACTTTGCCGAGCGCCTCCACGACAGCATGTCTGGAGCGGGCACTGAGGACAGAGATCTGATCAGGGTCATCGTCTCAAGGTCCGAGTGTGACCTGGGAGACATCAAAGTGGCCTTCCAGCAGAAATATGGAAAGAGTCTTGAGAGTTTCATTGAGGTATATAATTAATTCATTTTTTATTTCTTAAATTTTTATTTTTATATCTTTATAGGGTGATTGCTCTGGAGACTACAAGAGAATCTTAATCGCAATGGTTTCCGCTTGAAGTGATTGATCTGATGTTATACTGAAACTTCCATCCTATAATACTTCCATCAAATTCGCTTATTTGCATTTAAATTATACATTGTGGTAGTATATAAATACGCACACTAAAAAATAATTGGATTTTAGCATGACTGCTACTGATAAAGAAACTGATTAACCCCAAAATACTATACAAATATATATATGTATTGAATGACTATTTGTGTCAAACAAACTTGTTAGCTTCCTTTGTTAATTTAGAACAAAAATAAATAATCTCACTCCAATATATATTGAGAGAGTTTAAAATATTCTTGATATAAGCCGCAAAATACATGTAAAACATGAGTATGCATCACTGCTTATGTATTTAAATAAATTTCATTGAACTTAAATGGTCTTAAGTAGTTTTAATTTTAAATTGGAGAGCAAAAAAGTTATTGAATCACTAATAAATCCAAATCCTGAACCATGATAGGTATGACGACTAAATTTAACAGGTTAATTAAACTTAACAATCGTATTTTGTTAGGAGCTTATTGTCAGTAATAAAGTTTGCGTATAGAATTATAGATGTTCTAACTTGTAACGATTGTTATTAACTAAATAACTAATGCACAATCTTTAATCCATGCTTTGGCTAGTACATGCATCCAAGGCTTAGTCTTGCGCAGGTCCATGAGTATTTTAAGTTTGCCAGGTGACCGCCTGCTTTTATGCACCTGCGTGCTGAATTTCTCTCACGCTTTTTTTACACTTACTTAGATATGTATACCAAAAAGTGTCAAAACGTTATATCGTTCTAAAGAAATTATAATCAGCAAATAATCTCCCATCTCCCCTATGATAGCTTGTAACTATGCAAAATGATAAAGCGTGTGTGTGTGTATATAATATAATGTTTTCAGGCTTGCTCTAAAGTGCTGGACTTGCTTCCATTGCAAAACGCTCCCACTGTTTATAATAACCCTGCAAAAATGGAGTACCCAGTATTTCCACCTCAGGTATACATCAGTTATTTAGGAAGATTCAATTTGAAAAAATGTGATTTTCAGATTTTTTAGGAGATTTGATCTTTGTGTTTCATAAAAGCTTGCAAAATTTCAGTTTTTGCAACTTACTGAGACAGAGTGAAAGCTGAAGAGAAAAAGCTGTTCTTGCATTTTTGTATAAAATATTTCGCCACCTATCGTTCAAAATTCTGATTATAGAATTGTGTTTTCTCATATTATGTATTTATGAATTTAAATTTATAAGGTCCATAATATTTTTTATTACCTAAGAATTATTTTTGAATTTTACACACCATTAATTGTATCAATTGCTTTGATAGAGAAAAGCAAGCTTATTTTATTATCTTCGTGGTCGTTCTAAGTTTGCTTTTTGCGTCGATTGCTCAATCATTCATTATTGGTACGCGTGTGTTGATAAGGAGAAAATAAGATATCAATAAATTATAATATACAGAAAAAAATTATTTTTTGATGACCAAGAAGCGTCATGAATAGCTATGCTTTAAATATTGCTGCGGAGGAAGAAATGTATAATAATATAATTATTTTGGATAGGCTCGTGCAAAAATAGATGATGTTTTTGGCTGAAAACCCCAGAAAAACCTGAGAAATTATTGATTTTAAGCGAAACAAGCCACATTCGTGATTTTTTTTCATCAAAATTTTGTGCTTTAGACTACACGTTAAGGTAAAATTTTAAAAGCTATTTTTTCTTCAGAAAATAGCAAGTTATTCAGGCACAATCTAATATTTCAAAATGATTACCCACATTTTGTCAGAATCTAGAATGTCGGAAAATGGTATTTCTTGACTGTGCTATAATATAATATGGAAATTTAAAAATAAGTAATTTCAAGTTACAAAATTATTTTTATTATTCCCGGTCGGTGCAAATATTGGTAAAAGAGAGGAAAGGGTTTTAAAATAATATTATGTAGCATAACTAGCATAGAGATCTCTGCTAAAACGCTAAAAATCTAAAGAGACTTATGTTCGCAGCAGCAAACCCATTACAATCATAATAAACATTTATTTAAATATTTGATTCTTCATAATGTAAATTTTATTTCAGGTGATATAAAATTTTACTTTAAACTTGTAAATTGAAAATTATATAATTTAATATTTTATTTCTATCCATTTATTTCATTTAAAAAAAAAGTAATAAAAACAACAGGTTTAAAAGGTGATCATCAATTTTTCCTATCCATTCTGCTGGATTCAGAATATAGATAAATAATGTTTCCACTTTTACAATTATTGTGTGTATATTTTAATATTTTATACTTAACGTAGAGAGCTCCTAACTTTCACTCAATTGAATTTGGATGATTTTTGTGATTTATTCTTTTTTAGTGCTTAATTTTTTGCTGCAAAGATATTTGAAAAAGAAAAAGTAATGCTATTCTCATTTGACTGTTTTAGTTTACTCCAACCGTCCGTCCAAAACAGCCATATGGCCCAGCTGATGAAGAGGCTGATGCCGCTGCCCTGCGAAAGGCCATGAAGGGATTCGGAACAGATGAAAAAGCCATCATTGCTGTTTTGGCAAATCGCTCCAACCAGCAGCGCCAGTTGATTGCAAATAAATTCATATCTCTTTATGAAAAAGTATTTTACATGATAAAATTTACAAAAATTCAGATTTTAAAATCATTAGGATTTGGTGGAAGAATTGAAGAGTGAATTGGGTGTCAGTGACGTAACTTCAAAGTCCGGGGCCCTCGGACTCGCCTATACAGTAGGCAACGTCTTGACAAATGTGCCTAAAGCAGTGGCTTTGGTGGGCCCTTTGACCCCGTTGGCCCTCGCACCAGTCCTACCTGCTGTGGCTATGGGAGTTACGTCACTTGCGTACCTGTTGGGTGGAAATTTTGGGGACGTGGTCGTGGCTTGCATGACTCCACTTGATCAGTTTTTCGCAAAAATGCTGCACCACACCATATCTGGATTGGGCACTAAAGAGGACATTTTGATTGAGGTTTTGTGCTCCCTCAACAACGCATGGATTCACGCCATTAAGAACTCTTACCTGGAATGTTAGTTTTAATCTATATGGTTTTCGTTTGTCTAACAGTAAACAAATATTATATATTTTGAATTATTCAGTTATAATATTGCGAGAAATTTTTTTTCACTAATTTCTATTTAACATAATTACAAATTAGTGTACGGCAATGATCTTGAGTCGGACATCAAGGGAGACACTTCTGGCTGCTTTGAGCGGCTTCTCATATCCCTTTGCCAAGGAATGAGGGATGAAAATCCCGACGTAGATCCTGATCTTGTGGCAGCGGATGTATCCGCTCTTTTTGAAGCTGGTATTATTATCTTTTTTTCCAATTTCTTCCATAAAAAAGAGGTTTATAGCCCAGAATAATACAATTGGCACTGACGATGATTCCACCTTCAACGCCATTCTGACCAGCCGAAGCCTGCCTCACCTTAGGGAGGTCTTTGATCAGTATCACCAAACGCATGGAGTGCCCTTCGAAAAGGTTATCAAGGACGAGTTCTCCGGATCCACGGAGATAGCTGCCATCGTTAAGTGCATGACCGACTGCTCAAATTTCTTTGCCGAGCGCCTCTACAACAGCATGGCGGGAGCGGGCACTAAGGACAGAGACCTGATCAGGGTCATTGTCTCGAGGTCTGAGTTTGACCTGGGTGACATAAAAGTTGCTTTCGAACAGAAATATGGGAAGAGTCTTGAGAGTTTCATCGAGGTATTTAAAAAAAATCCTTGCTTTTGTCAGAATTTATTTAATAGATACAATATTTTTTTAGGGTGATTGCTCTGGAGACTACAAGAGAATCTTAATCGCGTTGGTTTCAGATTGAAATGATTAATCTGATGCAATACACATTGTAGCTTCCATCTGAAATTACTTTTATTAATTGGGTTTTTCATTTAAATTGTACTTCACGGCAGTTTATATAATAAACACATTTGAAAATTAGAATATTAGCGTTCGAGCCTGACACTGATACTAACCCCAAAATGGTGATTTTAATTTTAAGTCTGCTTTTCCTCGATGGATTTTGTGAGTTGTTTATTGTTTAAGAAAAAACAATATCCTGCTCTACATGTTTTGGCTGTGGGCTGCAGCCATAAATCATATGTAATTTTAAAGAGCTCTTGAATTATGGCTGCAGACCGCAGCCAAAACATGTAGAGTAGGATTCTGTTTTTCTTAAATAATAAGAAACTCACAAAACCCATCAAGGAGTAACCGACTTTAAATTCAAAATACATGAATCAAACCTTCGATCGGGAAATTTGACCACACAACTATTATTATTATTATTTATTCTTCTCGGACGATACAAAAATTTAAATTGGAAAAAAGAGAAGAAAGGGTTTACAACTAGCAAATGTCTGCTAAAATGCCCGAAAACCCCCAAAATATTGCACAAAATATGCACAGAATTACTATTTGCCCCAACAATTTTTTTACCTTACTTTATTATTTGAAATAAAAACATTAATCTCGTTTAATTTGTGAGAGTTTAATTAATATATATTCTTGATATAAAAGCGACAAATACACGAACACCACGAATAACTGCTGTGTTTAAATAAATTATGCTGAAGTTGTATAATTTCAAATGGCTCTCGTTTTAAAATTTATATTACATAACATAAAATACATTTTTTTCAATTGTCATGTCATGCTAGCAAGATTCAAAATTACGCTCACCCACGCACGGTCCGCAGTAGTTGTATCCTTCGCCGCTTTGCTGCGAAGGGCATAGGCGCGCACCATCGAGGGAACCGCCTTAACACGTCACTGGTGCTCAGTCAGACGACACAAAAACGCCGCTGTTGTTTTGCTTGCTGTCAAAATAAGTGAGAAAACCTTAAGAGAGAACTGGTGTTAGACATTGAACCGAGTAAGTTTTTTATTTCTCCCAAATATTACGCCACAATTACCCCAGTCTACATAGATTTTTACATAACGAAAGCTGAGTAAATGAAGCTTTTTCAATTATCTAAATGAGAATGAATTAAAAAGATTGCGAAGCAAGCGGGTCCACCCTCTTTGCTTCACGTTATATTATGGGGTAAGGATGGAGGCAACTTTTTGACTTTTGATAAAATAACCCTTATATACCACGACAATGACTGTTATATAATATCAAATGAAATTGATATCATATGAATGACTCAACGTGCATTTTATTCACGTGTCATTATATACGTAATTATGATGAACGTGTTAAACAATGCATATAGGGACATAGGGTTAGTTATAGTAACAGACACTCCCCCGCCCCAACCCCCAGCCAGTCCGTCCACCCGCGGGATTATAATAATCGATAATAAAGTTTGCGTGCGTCGGCTCTTATTTATTTTCAGGGCAGTCGAGTTAATTCACTTCAACAGGAACTAGCACAGTTTGAAAGACCTGCAAAAATGGCCTATCCAGGATACCCACCGCAGGTATTTAAAATCTCTTGCTGATTTAAATTGATGATGTGCTGCTTGGTTTTTCTTAATTGTTTATATTATTCTCATATTTGATTTGTTCCATAAGAAATTCATGATTTTAATTTTATTAAATTAAAAAATTGCTGGAAAAATTAAAATATTTTCTTCAGCAAAATGCAATCTCCATTGATTCATTCATAAAAATATTATTTTCACACGCTCAAACGCTCATTAATACCCACCTAATACCTAAACCATTCCACACACCTTACACGCAAGAAAGATTAGTCTTTTTAGCATTGATATAATTCTACTCAATTTTTATCCGTCCCAAAGTTTGGAAAGTTATTCTGCCAACCCTTTTGCGGAACCTCGATCAATAATTTTACTATCATGATATCATCCATCGTCTGCTTTTCTGTTTGCATAGTGTGTTGTGTGATGCGCGTGCTCAAAAAGGCACAAATGAGGAATCAATAATAAAATCGAAGCTACATTTCTATATTCAATGACAATATTAAGGTCAACTTCATTTCAGAGCCGTTTTAGTAATAAAAAGGATTTAATGTAGGATCGACATATATATTTTTACGTTTATGTCTCATTGTCAGTACACCTAAAATATTTTTTTAGTTTTGCAGAAAAATAGTTGAATGAATTATAACAAACAAAAAACTGATAAAGTTATTTTTTATTTTTTGAAGCATATCGTTAATGAGTTTTGTTATGCATTTTTTTCTTATTAGTCAAGTTAAAAACATTATTTTAGTTACTTTGCAAAACAATTTTATTTCTTGCTTACTATGAAAATTAATTATAAGTTGATATTTAATAAACTGGTTCATGAGTATTTGAAAAATAAAAATTAATAAAGCAAAGAAAATTTAGTACCCAAATTAACTTGCTGTTTAAGTTCACTCCAACCGTTCGTCCGAAAGAGCCGTACGGCCCAGACGATGTGGAGGCTGACGCTACTGCCCTGCGCAGTGCCATGAAGGGTTTCGGCACAGACGAGGAAGCAATCATTGCTATTTTGGCGAATCGCTCCAATTATCAGCGCCAGTTGATTGCAAAGAAGTTTACTTCCCTTTATGGAAAAGTATTTTTTCCCTTGTTAAAATTAACTGAAAATTATAAAATTTAACAAATATAAGGATTTGGTGGACGATTTGAAGAGTGAATTGGGCGGAAAGCTGGAGGACGTGATTGTGGCTTGCATGACCCCTCTTGATAAGTATTTTGCAAAAGAGCTGCACCATGCCATATCTGGATTGGGCACTAACGAAGACACTTTGATCGAGGTTTTGTGCTCCCTCAATAACGCTTGGATTCACGCCATTAAGAGCGCGTACGAGGAATGTTAGTTGTTGATTTTTTTTTAAATAATCCATAATTTAGTTATATTCACAATTTAATTAATTGCAAAAGCAAAGTTCTCTATAAAATATTATTGGTAATTATTTTTTTTAATTAGTGTATGAAAAGACGCTGGAGTCGGACATTGAGAGCGACGCGTCTGGTTGCTTTGGGCGCCTGCTCATTTCTCTTTGTCAGGGGATGAGGGATGAAGATCTTGAGGAGGACCCTGACCGCGTGGCAGAGGATGTGCAGGCTCTTTATGAAGCTGGTACATGAAAATATAATAATAATATGCAATGTAAAAAATTAATATATTAATAGGTCAAAACCAGATTGGTACTGACGAGTCCACCTTCAATGCTATTCTGTGCACTCGCAGCTTGACCCACCTGAGGGAGGTTTTCAATCAGTACCAACAAACGCACGGGGTGCCCTTTGAGGACGTCATCAAAGCTGAGTTCACCGGATCCATTGAAACCGGACTTTTGGCTATTGTCAAGATCATGTCCAATTGCACAACCTACTTTGCCGAGCGCCTCCACGACAGCATGTCAGGAGCGGGCACAGAGGACAGAGATCTGATCAGGGTCATCGTCTCAAGGTCAGAGTGTGACCTGGGAGACATCAAAGTTGCTTTTGAAGAGATGTATGAAAAGAGTCTTGAGAGTTACATTCAGGTATATAAAAATTTCCCGTTAATTAGATTAATATTAAAATTTTAACTTTCATTTTTAGGATGACTGCGCTGGAGAGTACAAGTGCATGCTAATCGCTTTGGTTACAGCTTGAAGCATCAGTTCTGAAGCAGTATTGTAACAACTTCCATCCAAAAAATATTCCTTGCATTTAAAAATAAATTTTATCATAGCAGCTTAAAATGCGAACAAGCAAATTTTATTATTGACTGTGACTTATACTGATTGTGAGTGATAAATTGCACAAAAATGTGTATTTTATGAAAAAATAGAGTCTCATGGCTCATGGCCTTTTAAAATCTCACGCAGTAAACTGTGCTTTATTTATTTTGCCTAAAAGGTTTTCAATCGCTGCTATTTACGGAGAATTATAATATTATTATACTGAGATAATGTAATTTGTATCACAATATATGTGTGAATAAATAAAATTGGACTAGAATTGATTTATATCTAGCAAATTAAACGTTTTATTCCCATAGTCAGGAAAAAACTAATTTCCACACACATACCTTTCTGTCGTACAATTATAAGATTCAAAAATTTATGCGTCAAACTTTTGTATATAATTATTATATAATAACTTTTTATTTATGTATCATTTAAACATTATTCATTTAAAATGTGTAAAAAAAACACGTTAAATTAAATTTAAAATAATTAATAATTAAAAACAAAAAAATATCGAAATATTAAAACACAAAAGACATACATATAAAATTGCTTTCATTTTTGTATAAATATATTCATTACACGATCTATATATTATTTTGTGTGGTAATAGAAACGGCTATGACGAATATGGGCGCGTTTCACAGTTCTCCATAAATCAATTACCTGGCACTGATAAAGTTTGACGCCACCATTATCTCTAAGAAAACTTTCCTGCTTGAGATGATCATATAAGGCCCGTCACCAAGCCCCAGTACCACTCAACCCCGGAACCTTTGACGATAAAGGAGCGACTCTGCACCTAGGAACCATTCAACAATCTCCAATCATGACTTCCATTGGAAATCAGTTTCAGGTAATTCAGAAGTATAAAATTAAATATAAGTCATAAGCTTTTTTGCTATGCATTTCGTAGAAGGGTTGTTAATTCGCGACACAAATTATATTATGTGATGATGATTATTTATTCTTCTCGGTCATACAAAAAATTTAAAATTGGGAAAAACGAGAAGAAAGGGTTTACAACTAGCAGATGTCTGCTAAAACGCCTGACATCAAAAGAGACTCAACCGCCGCGGTAAACCCGATTATAACAAAATAAGCACCTGGGGGGTCTGATTCTGTAAGAATCGGAGCCCTGGAGTGATAGCAATTAATTTACAAATTTTAACGCTATTAGAAAAGTATAAGTTGAAATTGGTTAAAAAGACATTTCTTTCTTTCAACTTCACGTTTAAACAATCAAAAAGCCCTCTTGGCTAAGACAATATAAGTAAATATAAATTAAAAATGTAAGCATTGCACACATATTAGTTACTAAGCATTTTTTTTTTGTAATTTCAACGCTAATTGAAAAATTGCTCTGGTTATCAGTTATCATATTAATCATTGTGGCACTTAAAACCTTTTCTTATAGGGAGATATAGAGTGCATTCAAATTCATTTTTAAGAACCCAAAATCGTTCTTGTTGGTGTTTTAAAGCAAAAAAATTCAGCCGTTATGAAAAGTGCTGCTTTTGAGGAAAGGTGACAGGATTATTTATTGGGGCTCAGAGGAATTCCATCATAATATTGTATTGTCGGCGAGCTTAATCCTGTTTAAATCCAAGCAAATATCTAGATGTGTTTGTTGATTGGCTAATTGTTTGTTCAGTACAAACCCACGGTTCGCCCAAAAACGCCTTTCGGTCAGGCAGAACAGGAAGAGGACGCGAAGGCTCTTCAAAAAGCGATGAAAGGGCTTGGCACCGACGAGAAGGTGATTATAAACATCCTGGCCAATCGCACCAACAACCAGCGACAGCTTATCGCACACCGCTTTGAATCTCTGTTTGGAAAGGTAATTTTAAAACTTCAAATTAAATAAGAGCCAAGGCGAGTTTAGCGAGGATGACTTCATTGAAAGAATAAATGCTGTGAATCATCAAGTGCATTCGCACATTATTTAGCAATAATACGTCGTTTGAAAGTTGAGAAAGATTCTTTGCTCATAACTCATACATATAGCACAAGTCATACATAAAATCAAAAGAAATTTACTACCTGACTATTTAAAAAATATGTTTTTATTAATTAACATTTACTAGAAACTCATCGATGAGCTTAAAAAGGAGCTCGGTGGCAGTTTTGAAGACGTGGTTGTCGGCTGCATGTTGCCCTTGGACCGTTACTTTGCCCAGGAACTGCACGACGCCATGCATGGCCCTGGTACAAGGGAAGATGCCCTGATTGAAATTCTCTGTGTTCTCGACAATGCATGGCTCAAGCTCATTCAGAAAACTTATTACGATAGTAGGCTAAAAATTTTATGCTTGAACATAATTATATAAAACAATTAAAATAATAATTTTTTAAATCTTCGCAGTGTTTGATAAGGATCTGGAGTACGACATAAAACGCGACACCGCGGCTTGCTTTGAAAAGCTGCTCCTGGCTCTTTTGGAGGCCAAAAGGGACGAAAGCGTGACCGTAGACTCGGGTAAGGTGGACGCTGACGTTGACGCGCTTTACGCAGCTGGAGAGAAGAAAATCGGCACCGACGAGGAGATCTTTATTGACATATTGACCAAACGCAGCTTTGCGCATCTCCAAGTGCTTTTCAGAGAATACAAGAACAAGCATGGCTCTGATTTCCATGAGGTATATTATATTCTGAACAATTCTGAATGATTATAATTTTATTTAAAACAAAATTTATCAAAAATTTATTTATGCTTTTGATCATCTTAATCCTGTAATTTATAGATTTCAAAATAACAAAAAATTTATTAAATAGAATATTTCTAACGCTAATAATAGTGACGTAACTAATTAAAAATAAAATTGCTTAATGTTTTAAATAAAAAAATTTTGGTAAAAATATTTATTATATTAATTTCTACGCACATATTAAGTTATAATATGTATTATAATTGTTTAATTAGGTAATTGAGAAGGAGTTTGAGGGCGAGACGGAAGATGCCCTTGTGACCATGGTGCGTTGCTACACAAACACGACCAAGTACTTTGCCAGGCAGCTGCACAAGGCGATGGATGGCGTGGGCACCAACAACCGGGCGCTCATCCGCACCATCGTGACCAGGTCCGAGTTTGACTTGGGCAACATCAAGGAGGCTTACGTCAAGGAGTATGAGAAGTCGCTGATCAAGGCTATCGAGGTAATTTCTGCTTGAGATTGTTTCTGCGCTGTTTGATTATTTATTTTCATACAAAATGTCTGTTTTGCAGGACGATTGCTCTGGTGACTTCAAAAGAATGCTGGTTGCACTTATTGATTAATGGAAAGCAGGAACGAATAACAATTATTTAAAAATAAATATTTTATTTTGAAATATATTTTCTAGAGAATTTTACAGACTTTCAGTCATGTTGCCTGGACTTTTATTATAAAATATGTTCTGAACATATGTCATTTTTATAAAAAAAAAAAATCAAAACAGAAAATTTTATTTGAATTTTAGAGCCTTTGAAACCCCCGTTCCGTGTGAACGTGTACAATAATGGCTAGTACAATTCATAAAATAATTGCCGAATTCAATAAATTTCAATTATTTCCGGCCTTGGACCACTTTGCTTTTTAATTTTGGGTGACTATTTAAAATCCAGGATGTTCCTTTTTTAAATGGAGATTTTCCATTAAATTAATAATTATCTCCTGTTGAGCTGCTGTTGAAAGAAATTTATTCGTTTTGCATTAAAATGTCAAATGCAGTCAAACGCCTGCCGCTTTCGGTTAGACTGCCATCTCAACAAGAGTGGCACGCAGGTTGCGTAGTTTGAGTCGATCCTTGGTGTGTGCACAATAATTTTCAAGCTTTTAAAAACGTGATAAAAACTTTACAGAGCAATAGCTTTTCAAAATCATTTTGAATCAAACAATTTTTGTTAAGGTATTCTCGGATTATTATTGTATTTGCACACGCTCTCTTTATTTAGACAATAGTTGCACATTTGTATTTTTTATTAAAAAAAAAATAATAATAATAATAATGCACACCTTCTATCATACGCGTTTACTTCTGGAAGAGGTTGTGTGTTGTATTGACGCTGTGCTCGTTGGATCTCATGTCAGCTGCATGAGATGGAGCACTTTTTCCATCATACTATCACGGGCCCTTCAGGCCCCGCGATACTCTCCCCAGGGCGAGGACCAGAGTCGCGGTCATGGGTGGCGAGCCGCCGTGGCTCGCCCACCTACACTTATTGCTGTATTACCGGGAAAGCACGAGAGCTGCACTGGCAGTGACCAGTGTTAGCCGATGTACGCACGAGTTCGCACCTCTATCAAATAAACACCGTTCATTCACAAAGAGTCGTTTGTCTTCGTTTCCAATCCTAGCTGTGACAATACGCGTTCACCACAGCACCCTGCTGGAAGTGGTTCTTGTTGTTCTCGATGTGGCGCTGGTCGGATCTCATGTCGGCTTCATGAGATGGAGCTATTTGATTGTACATATTCTGATTTGTTTGGAGAAAAATAAATGAATTGAATGGAATTAAAATACTAATTTAATTACATTTATGATTTTATTATGATATTTAATTTTTTTGTTACACATTAAAATTAAATTATAGTGTTTTACTTTTGTTTAAATAAATAATCCAGAAATAATATAATGTGGAGTTTGCAGCCGACGTTACATTTTAGTCCCTTGACTGAGCTTCTTCTTATCAAAAACATATATAATTAATTTTATAAATTATCAAAAATTATGGGTATAAATGGAACTAATTGGAACCTAGAATAAAGTATTCTTGTACAATTTTCACCGTTTGAAGCAATAGTTCAGAAAGAAATTAAAAAGCAATAATCAAGTTAAATACAAAACCGGAACATAATCCGGCGCAAGAAAAAGCCGCTTGATTTCCCCTATCACAGAGCCGAGAAAATTAATTGGAAAAAAAATCATGTTTAATGAGCTTGACGTCAATCGGCGGAGGAGATAAGCGGGGAAGCGGCGCCCCTGGTGGCACGTCGGCGCACCATCTCCCCTCCGAGGACGGCGCGGCGGCGGCGGGACGGACCGACCGCGGACGGAGGCTCACTCGCAACGCGGCTCTCAGTCGGCCGTCAGTATCATACCGGTTGGCAGGCGCACGACACCGACCGACGACACGCTGACAGATCTTCACGGTGGTGGTGTGTTGACGACGAGAGTTATTTTTGCCGACCACTTTGACAGATTCGAGTGCAACCCTCCTCTCTCGAGTGGGCGAAACATTTCGCACCCGATTGGTCGTCCAAGTGAAGTTTATTTGCATTATGTCCACTGCTGTGATGCCCGCATCGGCCAACTACGACTTCGGAGACATGATCTTCAAGGTGAGTTGTTTTCACGAAACTTTTGAATGATTTTGTCCTTATCGCGATTGGAAAGGGATGGGTAGGTGAAGTAGGCCTGTGTGCCGGTCGGTGAGAGCGCGCGCGCCCAGAATGAGGAGCAAAGAGAGAGTTAGTTCGCTAGTCAGGTGGGAAAGTCGTCGTCAGTTCCTTCCTTGGGCCGAATATATTAACACCCGACACAGCCACAGGTTAAAAACGCACTGACAGAGCACTTTCGGAAGGTGCCGAATTGGCGCCGGCCACGAAAACTAAATTTTTCTAAGTCTGGACAAGTTGAAAAAGTGCAAAAAAGTGAAAAGAAAACAGAACTATCAATTTGTGGCTGGCGAAAGGGTTAAATTAAACAATCCTTCGTAAATTGAGGTTAAAATACTCAATAATGTAAATCATATTTTAATTTGAAATATTTTTAATTTTTTTATTCTTTACCTAAATTCAAACCTCAACACAGAGTTGTTATTCAGGAGATTTGAAAGTATTTCATTAAAACGATCCTAAATTCAAGCTCAATAACCATTTGAAAAATGAGTTTCGATTTAACAACTTTGAAGGTTTTTGGAGACAAATATGTTCGTATTTCATTTTGAAGCACAATCAGAGTCGGAATTCTAGAGATTCGAAAGCCCCATTTGAGAATCTCGGCGCTCTTTGGAATTTTGGTACGCGCTTCTTTTTATTTATCTCTCGGCAGCGAAGCGAGCACATGTTTGGACGTGCGTCCTATCCTATTCACCGGCTGCACCAGGGTGTGTAACAGGTGGGACTCCTCCGATTGTATAAAAGACCAAACTGCGTCGCATTTTCTTCTCCAGTACTTATCCTGGAAGGAAATTCGCAGAATTTCAAATCGATCGTGCGTAATGAAAGTTGAGCTACGTGAAAGGAAATAATTGGCGAACTCTCGTCTCAGCCTGGATTTGAAAAGCAAAAAACATCAGCCTTGAACCGTATTTAAACGCAGGCAGTTTCCTCAATTCTCACCTTGCGGGCGCGAATGAGCTCTAAATTTACTTGATGGCTGTTAAGGTCTAAAATTTAGTTAGCCGTCTTATCTTCATGAGGATATAAATGCAATAAACGTTTTGAAAAGTGAAAATAAAATTGCTAAAAAGTTGTTTGGTATAAATTTATGAATGAAATTGGTGGACCAGCAAAATTCTAAAGATATAAAAATATATATCATCATACAAAAAATATTAATTTTTGAATGAATACAGTTTGTTTATTTAAATTTTAAATAAATTTTTTTAATTGTTTATTATTTAAATCTATAAATCATTCTGATTTTAAAAGTTAGTTTTCAATCTTGGGGATATAAACCTCGTGACTAATTTCAACATTAAAAGGCACATTTTCTTCTCACTGACTCATTTTACAAGTTTTGTGCAAGCGACCTTTGAAATTTAAAATTCCCATGACTCTGCGCGACGATTTCAAAAGTTTTCCTGCTCCGCACGATTAAATCACTGCAGCTGCGTTAATCTCGCACTTCATTACTTAATTCGCACTTGGAGCAAATCGCGAATGTGAAGCGGTGCAACAATGGGCCGTATCCTGTGTTCTTTCTTTCGTTGGCCGTGCAGCTGAGAGAGTGATTATCAGTCAAGGTTGCCCGATATTGTTCCACATTGTCAAGTGCCGGCAGTTTGCACGCAAGCAAAGAAAAGCGAGTTTCACGTATTTGCACACGTGCGTACGTACATACAAGTACAAGAAGAAGTACAAACCCATCGAACCAGTTTCGCTGTGCGCAGGAATTGAGAGAAACAACAATCGGCCTGCCGGAAATAATATTATTGGATGCAAATAATGCGGACTCAAGTTGTTTGAGGGTTGGTTAGGTCGCTGAACGTTCCCAGCTGCGGGGTCTTTATTTTATATTTTCTATTATTCGAAAAATAAAAAAATCAACCGCTTTCTGAATTTCTGCAGCGCCGAGAAAGGAAGCTGCGAGTGTGTTATTGTTTCACTGACCTACGCCAATCTGGCAGGAGAGCGAGTGAGCGCGGCTGCCTCTCTCGTTATTTATTTTTTTATTGTTTCTCCTCTCTTTTTCCTTGGACGCGCCGCTGCTTTTTTTCATCATTTATACGTGTAGCGAGATTTTCCATGCGCGCCCACGCCCTCGCCGCGTGCACCGCCATTAACTCGTTCCATTCATTAAGCGGCGGAATAAACGTTTACGCACTGCACACGTGGGATAGCCACACATTTATAAAAGAAAACGAGAGGAAAACTCGTTTGAGCTTGTCGCCGGTGATTTATCAGCTCGGGGAAAAACTCGTCCTTCTCCACAAACTGGCTAATTTGCACATTAAGTGACCAGAAAGAATTCCATTTTTAATTAAATTTCTGTTTATTAAGTCAAATTTTTGGTTGAAATAAAGTTTTCCTTGAACTTTTTTTATCAACGTATTTTATGCAGGAAGCAAGCTTAATTACTCCCCTTATCACTCATATTGATTGCAAAGTTAATTGTTCGCTGTACATTCGTGACATTTTTTAACGTGAAATTTTTTGGCCCAAAAGACCCAATTTTCTCTCTTTTTTTTTTTTTGTACACCATCTTATCATTTAAAAAGCAAGTGGAAAAGGCGTATAATTGCATTTTTTTTCTCACCGTCAGTTGAGTAAAAAACCAACCAAGTGGAGGAAAAACGGCCGGAACCTTGTTTTTTATTTCGACTGTATCGCATCGAGCACGCACTCAGGAAGCGAAAAGTCGCGGGAAAAAGGAGCGATAATCAAAGCGAGCAGCCGAGACTTCCTGATCACTCTTCCGAGAAAAGAGGCAGAAGGTCGAGAGCAGCGCCAAATAAGCAAGCATGATTTGCATAATTTGCTTTAAAAACTTCATGCCTCGCCTTTTTTCCAACGCAAATTAACGTGCATAATTTCATAAACGCGGCCCATTCTTTTAAGCAAATTGTAAATTAACCTTCAAGGTCAAGTTGAATTTTTGGCCGAAAATCTTTTGTTTCCTTTGGTGTATCAAAAGATTTGTTTTGCGAGTCCATGTTTGGAAGGCAAAAACATAAATCGGCGCGTCTAATGCAACATTAGCGATAGTCCTCGTTGGAAAGGTGAGTCGGGCCATAAATAACATTCCCGAAGTGAAATTTACGACGACAAGTTCAAGTTTCGAGCGCGATGGAAATCTCCAAGAGAAAACAAAACAAATCATCCGGCCCTAACTATAGAGTCAGCAGAGAATGACTCGAAACCACATTCTTTTGTCCTGCTGCATTAATTTGCTGAAAAATTTCCATCCATCTCTTTTTTTGGTACAAACACGCTAACCCAATTGCGAGCAACTCGCTCACTTTGTTATAGAAAAGTTGCTTCGTCGCGCGCGTGATTTTCCTTTCGCAATTACGCGCCTTCTGCGGAGAAGGAAAGTGAAATAATAATCAGCCGAGCGGGATATTGTGTTGTTACGTCGTTTTCCGTCGAGAAAGGAGAAAAATAAATACCAAGCATTGATACTCGGCGGCAGATGGCGGCGCTCAGATTCACTTTCTTGACAAAATCCACTCGCGCTCTCTTCTCAAATATAAATAAATGTTTCTCTCGGTGGAATGCACGTCTCTCCCATTCTGACGAAAAGCCGCAATAACCTTTTCTCCTCGATTACGAGGTCTTTAATAGCGGAGGCGTGGGTCTATCAAGCTTCAATTTTCTACTTTTAAACGATAATTCCATCGAAACGTAATAAAATATTCTCCAGAGATGGAAATAATGCAGCTCATTCGTGACCACATGACTGACTGACTGACTTATGGTGTAATTATTTAATGAAATAACCGCGACAGAATTAATAAAATTAATCACCGACACTCGTGACACACATTACGCAATCGGCCGCTGCTGTGCATGGTTGGCTGCCGCATGATTAATAACAATAAATAAGAAGAAAAGTCTCCGGTATGTAAATGTTTGTGTGCGCCGAGGCTGTTATACTGCGAGGGGAATATTAATTTTCATTATTGTCCCGACGTGCCTCTCTAATTTTGACCGCAGCCAAGCTTCCATTTGGAGGAGCCAGTTGGTTTTGGTTTTGAAGTTGAGTCCCTTCAAATAATTAATGTTAAGCTCAGGAATTTGTTAACAATTTTAGCAACGTATTTATTCAAGTAACATATTAAAAAAAAAATGTTTTCAATCTTTTATTATTTATCATTTGTTGTTTGTTTGTCCAAGATTGATTTCTTTAGCGTTTCCAGTAGTTTCTAAATTTAGTCCGATATCTGGGATCTGTGCTGGGTACATCGAGGAGAGAGGGCTGCATGAAATCTGGATTTTTTCATGACCAATAATCTCTTTCTTCGCCAGCAGTGCCGGTTTTACACAACTGCATGGCGGACGCTGGCTTTCCAACCAGGATGTGATACGTCTGTCTTTCTCGTGTGAGCAACACGCTAACACATATAAACACTTATCCTGCGATGGTTACGCAGGACGCGGCGTGGGCGATTAGCGGAACAGCGCCGGAGAAATTAGATTTCGCTTTTCCTTTTGCAGCGAGAGAGCGCTGAGCCTTCACTGCTGCAATTAGAGCCTTTTCTTTGAAAACCAACTTCTGACTGGCTGCTTCTTGCAAAGAGAAAGAAAGAAAAAAGATTAACTTTCTGCAAACATGAGCCATGAGAGGCGAGCCTTAAATCAATATTTTTAGCTCCGAGTTGACATTTTATCTTTTCGGATGGGCGTCAAAACAAACAGCATTCAGAATTTCTGATTCTAGAGAAATGTGAGGATTCTGAATGATGTGGAAATGCACACAGAGAAAACAAGTTTTGGCCGGTAGAACTTGTCATTTAAAAAAAATTAATTATTTTCATTTACATTTTTTAACCAGCGTTGGTCTAAAGTAATAAATAGTTTAAAATCAAAAATATATTTAAAAATGTTTAAAGTTTAAAAAAAACAATAACTGTGATTTTTTTGAAACTGGTTTTGAAGTATTTCCTGTTAAACTA